AATGCTCGGTATTTGCTCGGTACTTGCTTGGTAATGCTCGGTATTTGCTCGCCTGGACGCTCGGTACGAGGAACACAGAGAGTGAGAGAGAGAGCGACTGAGAGGAAGTGGTTCCGTGTGGTCTTTCCAGCCGAAGGAGAGAGCGGTGTTTTTCCTGCTTGCCTGTGCTCGTCCGAACGAGAGTAAGGGAGAGCAGAGCCGGTCAGCTTTGCTTGTGTTCGTCCAGCCCGAGCAACAAGGAAGCCCGATCGGGCCTCCCGTGTCGGTGAAACCGGGGAAAGAAAGAGCCGCAGCTGCGGCTCTACCGCTGTCGCGCGACCCAGGTGGAGCGAGGGACCCCTCCAACGCCCTCTTGCTTGCGTTTCTGACGTCCGTCCGACCATACCAGAGGGAGGAAGAAGCTCTCCTGTGTGCAACCGAACTCAACCAGCACACAGGGATCTTTTCTCGTGCAGTTCTCCCTACCTTCATCTTTGTTTCTCTCTGAAATTTAAGGGGGCTGCCATTTCTTCTTTTTCCGAGCAAGTACCGAGCAAATACCGAGTAGTACCTAGCAATACCGAGCAAATACCGCGCATATTCGTTTCGGTTGGGTCGTCGGGCCCGCGTGGTAAAGAGTAAGCGCACGTGGCGATATATTATAGGCTACCTGATGTATCTCTACGTCAGGTAACCTGAGGCAATAAAAATTCCTTCTCAAGGGACGGAAGAAATGCAATTTTAGGAAGTTGTTTGTGTGTTTTAATTTCATAAGTTTGTAAGTGTCAAGAGTTGTAAGAGTCGTTTAAAAATTATAAAAGTTGTAATTTGTCTATTTTGTCATATTTTGTCTAGTTTTGAGTAATTTATGTAATTTTCTTTTATCCTAGGAAGAGTTTCTCTTGCTCGCAAAAATTTGGGGGTGATCTGAGTTCCCTCTCCTAGGGATTCACCAATCAAACTCTCAAGCTCTCACAATAACTCATGCAATGAAGAAATTTTTAATCAATCATTCATTAATTTTCAAAGATAACATAGGGGCTATAAATAGCCTCGTATATAAGACTCAAAATAAAAGACAACAATGTCCTCAGGGCTTACATACGACTCGTAAGCGGTAAAAACGAAAAAATAATTACAATATAAATAATAAAAGACAAATATTATAATAAAAAACGAATACATGACATGACTCAAAGCTATATCAGATCGATTGTCGTCGACGGCCATGCCTCTGCTGTATTTTCCATACTCTGATGTCCCCATCAGCCAGCCTCCCCACCAAATTCCCCCTCTAACCGCCGGCCACCAAGGGCCTTACCCCTTTCATAGCCGCCGGCCCTCTCACCCCACTACCTCCTCTGTATAAACAGACATGTACAAACAGATTAAAATAGCATGAATATATTCAAACAGATGATCCTGCACAAATACATTAGACTTGTTAAGATCATTCTGGCATGCTGAATTTGAAGAAATAACTTGCAAGCATATAGCAGTTCAATGGAGTTATAAAAATTAACATGTATCAGGCATAAGAATTACTTGCTCACTATATTATAGATTATCTCAATCGAATTATAGGATCTTCTTCGGAATAAATTTTTGAATTTCTATCGCCTTGATGTCTTCGTCTTTCATAAACAAACTAATAAAAATATTTTTCTTAATTTAATACAAGTTCCTAAAATGACAATTTGAAGTTAATGCAATTGATGCAATCTCAAATTTTTTATAATAAAAAGAAAGACACAACTATACTAAAAAGGAGAGATAACTTAGAAACTTTAGAACAAACTCTTACATTTCATATAAAAAGAACACTTAGA